GTGATCCACCCGCCTCGGCCTCCCAAAGTGCTGGGATTACAGGCTTGAGCCACCGCGCCCGGCCGGTGCAGCTTTTTTATATAGGTAAACTTGTGTTATGGGGGTTTGTTGTTTGGATTGTTTAATCACCTAGTTACTAAGCTTAGTACCATATATATATATATTTTTATTTTTTGTGCCTCTCCCTCTTCCCACCTCCATCCTTAAGTAGAACCCAGACTCTGCTGTTCCCTTCTTTGTGTCTATGAGTTCTCATCATTTAGCTCCCACTTATAAGTGAGAACATGCAGTATAATTACCATGAAATAAAACTAGAAATGGATTTTAAAAATCTGAAAATATAGAGATGCATTTTCCTTGAAAGTTTAAAATTCTCTGATAAGTAAGTTTAGGTAAGAGGGAAACATAAGCCAAAACAGCCAAACTCCACTGGCTTTTCAAAGCTGTAGGTCTATTTGACATTGTTAATTATTTGACTAATCCCAATAAACACGTCCCCAGTAAGTGAGCAAGGCAGTTTCAATCAGGAGTGTGTGCTGTGCAGAAACTAAAGCAGGACTGGATGACAGAGCAGAGTGGGCAGTGGGCTGATGGAATTGCAGGTCCTGGAAGGCTTCACAAAGCAAGAGACCTTTTTGGGACCCAATTGACAAAATTGTGATGTTCAGAGTAGAGTTTCCCACCTGCAGGGAACAGCAAGTGCAATAGACCTACCATGGAACTTAGTGATTTTGTTTTTCCAGGTATACAAAGCTCATTTGTGCCTAGGGCATAGAAAGAAAGAGGAAGAGAGGGAGAGAGGCAGGGGGCAAAGCAGGTAGGGCCCTGGGTCTCATGTGAAGTACATTATTTGGTGTGTGTTCAACTTGAAATGAGAAGGCCCTGGAAGTTTCATTTTTATTTTTTATATTTAATTGTATTATACTTTAAGTTCTGTGGTACATGTGCTGAATTGTTACATAGGTATACACGTGCCACAGTGGTTTGCTGCACCCATCAACCCGTTATCTACATTAGTTATTTATCCTAATGCTCTCCCTCCCCTAGCCCCCTACCCCGCCGACAGGCCCCAATGTGTAATGTTCCCCTCCCTGTGTCCATGTGTTCTCATTGTTCAACTCCCACTTATGAGTGAGAACATGCGGTGTTTGGTTTTCTGTTCTTGTGTCAGTTTGCTGAGAATGATGGTTTCCAGCTTCATCTATGTCCCTGCAAAGGACATGAACTCATCGTTTTTAATGGCTGCATAGTATTCCATGGTGTATATGTGCCACATTTTCTTTATCCAGTCTATCATTGATGGGCATTTGGGTTGGTTCCAAGTGTCTGCTATTGTGAACAGGCATTGGAAGTTTTAAACAGCAGTTGACAAAATGTGATTTATACATTTAAATAATCATCTTAGTTACTCTGTGGAGAATGTGTGGACAGAAGAGGAGAGCATCTAGATAATACAAGTGAGAGTGGCAATTGCTTAGATTTATGTTAGCATCGAGAATGTACAGAAGTGGCTAGGTGTGGTGGCTCAGGCCTGTAATCCCAGCACTTTGGGAGGCCAAGGTGGGTGGATCACTTGAGGTCAGGAGTTTGAGACCAGCCTGGTCAACATGGTGAAACCTGTCTCCACTAAAAATACAAAAATGAGCCATGGCATGTGCCTGTAGTTCCAGCTTGGGAGGCTGAGGCAGAATAATTGCTTGAACCTAGGAGGCAGAGGTTGCAGTGAGCTGAGATTGCACCACTGCACTCCAGCCTAGGTGACAGAGCATGACTCCATCTCAAAAGAAAAAAAAAAAAAAAAGGAAAAAAAATGCACAGGAGGGGACAAACTCACATGTATTTTGTAAATAGCTAGCCACCCTCCCTTTAGTACTAGCCTTACTTAATTGCCCCCACAGAATTTTAGTAAGGCTCTCAATTTTGAAGCACCTGTAAATTTAAAGGCCAAAGTAATTAAAAACTGGTGCTTGTCTAAAGTTTTGAATAAAGAATAGAAAAACCCACATCTTCTTACCTCTCCCATTCAGTTAGGTGGCTTTGTCATTCCTAGTATAACAAGAGATGGAAGTTTATTCTTAGGAAAATTGAAGCTGAGAGCCTGACTCCAGGCACAAATGAGGATGGGAACAAGCTGCCTGGCTGAAAAGGGTCATAATGCTCAGCTAATACTGAGACGGTGGAAACACCAGATGAAAGCACACTGCATTCATGGGAAGGGAGTACTCCTAGAGAGCTGCTGGACCCACAGTACATCCTGCATGACCAAGGAATAAACTCTTATCTGATAAGTAAAAGCCTCATTGACCCTGGACTGTAGTAGGCAGACAGCCTTCAGCTGCAGGGAGCTGCCTCACCCAAGGCCATGCCTCTTCCCAGTTTGGCCCACATCCAGTGACTGCTCAGTGCTGAAGCATTAAGCTTGGCCATCTCTCTCCTCAACTCAGGACACCCCTGAAGGGCCATGTGAGCTCCAGAGCTGCCTGCAGGATCTGCTGAGACTATATTTGGCCCTGAGCCACAGATCAACTTTTCCCTATGCTCAAACTGCTTTCTGCCTCTTTCTTTCTCAGATATGGAAAGAAAGATCTTTGTGCTGAAGTCTTAAAGTGTGCTCTGTAGTGAACCTGAACTGCAACTATACTTTAGGTTTGTGTTTCAAAGAGCATAATTTTTGTGAGAGAATAAATATCAATGGCCCCTGCTGAAATTATACTTCTTCTTTGCATGGTTATTCAGTGATGTGAAGAGAGAAATGACCACATGAAAATCTTAGCTTCCAATTTACGTAATTACTGCTGTGACCTCCCCCTACCTCCAGTGAAAACATGTCCCTTTGAACACCAGAAGTCACAAGGACGAACAGAAAACATTCTGCCTTTGGTATGATGGATCACTCCCAGTTTTTTACCCAGATTTACTGGAACCATGCCCTCTGGCTCTGAGAGGAGTCCCATGTCTGGAGCAATGAGATCTCCAATGCATGACTGAGAATGTGATATCATATAACCCCTTTGAAAACTGTGTGTTGTTTTCATTGGGAACTATGGCTAAACATCATCCTGATTTCATCTTTTGCCATAAGCAGGCTGGTGTTGCCATTGGAAGACTGTGTGAAAAACGTGAGGGCAAGTGTGTGATTTGTGACTCCTATATGTGTCCCTGCACTCTGGTGCACATATGTGATGAGTGTAACTATGGATCTTACGAGGGGCGCTGTGTGATCTGTGGAGGCCCTGGGGTCTCTGATGCCTATTTTTGTAAAGAGTGCACCATCCAGGAGAAGGATAGAGATGGCTGCCCAAAGATTGTCAATTTGTGGAGCTTTAAGACAGACCTCTTCTATGAACGCAAAAAGTACGGCTTCAAGAAGAGGTGATTGGTGGGTGGCCCCTTCCTTCCCCCCACCTTAAAGCTATTGCAACTGCCAGAAAAGATGCCTACTACCACCAGCAGAAAGAGAGAAGAGCCCAGAGCATCACCAGGAGTGCCTGCTAGTGTACTGGCCGCTTGCCACCCCCTCCTCTCCCTCCACCCAGACGTATGGTAGGGATGGAAAAGGATTCTTCAGAGAGCACTCTGGCACACCTTATCGGAGAAAATTTGATAGATTAGTTAATGGTGTTTCTCGAATTTGGGAAGCCAAGAGCTGTTCTCCATATTGATATGTTCTCCCTCAACCAAGATCTTCTAAAAAGAAATAATATTTTAGCCTTCTGCTTGAGAAGTTGACTGTGAAGCTACGCCCAGTGAAAAACATGTTCTTGCAGCATCTCTGGTGGCAGCTGTCCTTGAGGAAACTTTGGTGTGTGGTGGGAAGCTATCGGAACAAGAAATGTAGTCATTTACTTGTTTAACAGTTGTGTAAGCTTTCACTCTTTAAACACTTGTGCTAGCGTCATGTTATTTTCCTTCTGAGAAACTGGAAACCCTTTCTGTTGCTGTTATATTAATAGAGTTGGTATTTATTTTCTGGTAGTCAGAAAGAAAAGAAAACTGTTTGTCAGTCTTCTATAAACTTAAGCAGTCATCTACGCCTAGAAGTTCTTCCCCTAATTATCTAACCAATTCATAAGAATCAAGAACTATGAAAAATGCATATGTCTTTGAACAGATAAGTAGAAAAACTGTAGCATATTGAAATATTATTCATCAGTAAAAAGTAACAAACTGCTGGTACATGCAACAGGATCTTACAAAAATCAGATTTGGGGGAAAAAAAGCCAGATCCAAGGGAAAACATACTGTGTGACTGCATTTATATTCATTCCCAAAATAAGCCCAACCAACCTGTCATAGAATTTAGAACATGATTACCTATGGTCGGGATTGACTGGAAAGTTACGGGCATGAGAGAAATTTATGGGACTGTGGAATGTCCTACATCTTGTTTTGGGTGATTATTACATGGGTGTATATAATTGTTAAAACTCACTGATGTGGAGACGTAAGATCTATGTGTTTTATTGCATGTGTTTTAAGCTGGAGAAAACTGAATAGGAGACAACACAGGGGCAGGTGGAAAAGTGAGAACCATCTTAAGAAACTCTGGAAAATTAAATTCTAGGTTGGCAGGGAAAAAAACCTAGAGGCCAACACAATCCCCAGTGTAGAACCAAAAGGAATCAAGATTTTGTGGCACCGGGTACTCCTGGAGTTGGGAATAAAAGTGAGGCTAAACAGAGTTTATGTTGAAAGTCTGCTGGAGAAGTGTTAGTTCCTTGGGTCAGGTCCATCAAGTTAGCATCTGGATGCCTGCTTCCACCCACCCTGGTGGATGATGAGACTTTCTCACTTTTATACTGGAGGCAATTAATTGGCAATTAAAATTAGATAGTAATGTAGGATTGTGGATAAGGAAATGCAGAGAAATAAGGAAGTTCTGAAAATATCAGATGATTGATAGCTTGGCTCACATTCTAATTTGGAAGGTTAGAATTGAACATCTGCTTCAGCAATATCTCAATCGCTTTCCAGGCAGATAGATGCCCTGGGACATTTAAAATTAAGAATAAAACCAAATAAAAACAAAAACTAAAAACTTGGGTTGGGAAGACAAGAAACATAAGGACATAAAGAATTTTTAGAAAACATTGCTCCTATTGCACTCCTGTTTCTATTGAGTTACTTTCATCAATATTTTACATTCTCTTTCCAAACAAGAGCAAGCAATGGTACAGCTAAAGTAGTTTCTAAATTGGCCTTTAGAAAACTCAGGGAGTTGCACGTGGTTGTGGGGGGCTTCTTCAAGCAATTGTACTTAGAATTCCATGTTACTTTATTTTCACACACTCAGTTGGGACTACTCTTATTAATAGATGGTGCCCATATTCTGCTGTTTACCCATGTTCAATAATAACCTTTTGCCATGCTGTATTCTATTTTAGAAAATCAAGAAGCATTGATAATGAGAATTATCTAGAGGCAAGTTTAGAGCCATCTTTATCCTCTCCCATGACCTCTGTTTCTAGGTTTCTCTTCATTTCTGAGAAAGAGTAATCATGTGTTCCTTACACATTCTTCACTGTTATACTTATAATTTTACACAGCCAAAATAATATGTCAGGTGTGGCTTTACCAACTTCTCCTCCTTTTACCACCTATTTAAAAACTTAACGTTACAAGTTCTGAACACATTGCTATTTTATAGATCCTAGTGACTCCAGCAAAGTCAATAGATTTGTGTAATTTTTCATTTTCTTTATTACCCTGCTGATAGATAAGTAGATCATTTCCACATCTTCCTTATCTTAACACTTTATTGAACAACTGTGTACATAGAACTAGAGTTCTTTGTTTATATTAATACTCATTTTCAACTGTTTTCTAGGAACAGCTACATTGGTCTACAATTTCTATCTCCATTAACAGTCTGATCGTAGTGGTTTTCTCATATGTTGGCCCATTTTTATGTTGTCAGACCTTTTCACCTTTTCCTTACCTAAACTGATTTTTTTTAAGTATCACTGCATTTTCTCAATTACAAGTAATCTTGTACATCTCCTCATATATATTGGCCATTGGATTTTCTTTGTTCAGGTTGCCTGTTCTAAGCCTTTGCCCACTTCTTTTTGGTTGACTCTTATTTTGTTTATCGGTCTCTAGAAGTTTTCAGGATACTCATTTATTGTTTATTTTATGTATGGTAAAACTATTCTATCCTATGACTTGTCTCTTAATTTTTTATGTCATTATTACACTGGAAGCACTTAAATATATCGGACATTTCCATCATTGTTTGTGCTTTTGGTTCTTCTTTAGGACATTTTATCCTGCCTTGAATGGATAAACACGTTTTTCAATATATTCTCAAATAGTCTAAAAGTTTTCCTTTGCACAGCCAGTGTTTAATCTATCAGTAATTTACTTATCTAAGTAGTATGAGGTAGAGCTCTGTCATTTCTCCCAAAAAGGCCAGTATCGTATCACCTATTGAATAATTAATTCCTTTTCACAAGATTGGTAAGCCACTTTCATTGTATACAGATTCCCACATGTACAGTTGAGCCTTAAACAACATAGATTTGAACTGCATAAGTCCACTCATACGTGGATTTTTTTCAATAACTACATTGGTTAATATCTTGGACTTTCAGAACAATTTAAAAAGCCTGTGATAAAAATCTTGTGGTTTAGAAATATTGAAAAAATAAAAAAAATGTATGTCATGAATGCATGAAATACATGTATATAATGGTGTATGTTATCATGTACTACCATAAAACATACATAAATCTGTTTTCAAAAGTTAAAAAAAATTTTTTTTGAACGAAGTTTCACTTTGTCACCCAGGCTGGAGTGCAGTGTCACGATCTTGGCTCACTGCAACCTCCACCTCCCAGGTACAGGCTATTCTCCCGCCTGAGCCTCCTGAGTAGCTGTGATTACAGGCATGTGCCACCATGCTGAGCTAATTTTTGTGTTTTTAGTAAAGACAGGGTTTCATCAAGTTGGTCAGGCTGGTCTTGAAATCTTGACCTCATGATCCACCCTCCTCAGCCTTCCAAAGTGCTGGGATTACAGGCATGAGCCACCGTGCCTGGCTTATATGTTAAAATTTATCAGAACTTACAGATCATACATGGTGCCAGTTTCAGGTGAGATGAATGTAAACAAATGTAAAGATGTAGTATTAAATCATAACTGTACAAAATTAACTGTAGTACCCCCTGTACTACTGTAAGTATTTTGTAGCCACATCTTGTTGCTATTATGGAGAGCTCAGGTATTGCGAGTATCCTCTTAAAAGGCCGTGGGATGCTAATCATCCACACATGAGCAAATATCTTCAGTGAACTGCAGTTTCTTGAGTATTTTTAATCATGTTTAGTACAATACCATAAAGTTTGAATAACGCCATGGAACCCATACGAAGTGCCACTAGTGATGCTGGAAGTGTTCCCAAGAAGGAGAGAAAAGTCATGACATTACAAAAAAGTTGAATTGCTTGATGCATAGTATAGACTGAGACCCGCAGTGAGATTGCCAGCCATTTCAGACAGACCGTTCATCTTCTAAACAGATAAAGTAAATTGAAGGTATCCATAAATACAGTATACAACTATAAGTGCATTTTCTTTTCTCTAGTTTACTTTATTGTAAGAATACAGTATATAATACATGTAACAAACAAAATATGTGTTAATCAACTGTTTATGTTATCAGTAAGGCTTACAGTCAACAGTTGGCTATTAGTAGTGAAGTTTTTAGGGAAGTCAAAAGTTACTCAAGAAGTTTCAACTATACAGAGGGTCAATGTCCCTCATTCTCTCCTTGTTCAAGGGTCAGCTGTACATGCACATTTGTCTGGCCTCTGTGTCCTGTATGTAAATGTATTGTTTATTTCAGCTCAAATATCACAGTTAGATAAAAGAGAAGTCATCTGTATTTTTCTTAAAGGTATCATTTTGATATTTTTGTTTAAATCTCTGTCTCTAACACCTGCTAGCTCTATCACGTTGAACAAATTTCTTAATGTCTCCATGACTGAGTTTTGTCATCTGTAAAACAGAGATAATAACATTTTTCTTACAGGTTATTATGAAGATTAAATGAGTTATTCTATGCAGAGTAAATTGAAAAGTGTTTGGTATTTTATACTCATCATGTATGTTAGCTATTTTAAATAACAGTTTTATTATTAGAAATTGAGAGGGATTTTTGTTCATCAAAAGATATAGAGAAGAAAACAGAAGACAAACCAAGGGGCATGAACAGATATTGTATTACTCATATCTAATAAACAGCTAATATCCAGTATATATAAAGTGCTAGCACAGAGACAGCAAACCCAGTAGAGAAATGGACAAAATACATAATAGTCACTTCATGAGTTAGAATATCCCAATGGCCAATAAACATGTGAAAAAACTGCTGCCTCTCATTTGTATTAGGAAAATGAAAAATATTTTTTTCTCTCTTTCCTTCCTTCCTTCCTTCCTTCCTTCCTTCCTTCCTTCCTTCCTTCCTTCCTTCCTTCCTTTTTGAGACAGGGTCTCAAACTGTAAAATGTGCCTCTTTAATCCTATAAATACATGGGGTTTTTTTGTTTGTTTGTTTGTTTGTTTTTCTTATGCAAAGCTTAACTCTGTTGCCCAGGCTGAAGTGCAGTGGTGCAATCTCGGCTCACTGCAACCTCTGACTCCCAGGTTCAAGTGATTCTTGTGTCTCAGCCTTCCCAGTAGCTGGGGTTACAGGTAGAGATGGGGTTTCACCATGTTGGGCAGGCTGGTCTCCTGACCTCAGGTGATCCTCCTGCCTCAGCCTCCCAAAGTGCTGGGATTACAGGTGTGAGCCACCATGCTTGGTCAAATACATTGCATATTAACATTGTTACCCTAGGTTTCT